GAGGGGGGGGTGGGGTTTGTTTTTTTTTTTTTTTTTTTTTTTTTTTTTTCTTTATACACAACTTATTGTCTCCTAGAGGAGAAAGACTTGGAATTTCTCTTAGAGGAAGACCCTGTCTTGGGTCAAGACAGCTACTCTGTGGCTCACACAGCTATCTCTGCTGAGGCATTTGCACAGCCTGGGTCTTACCGCTTTCCAGGGTGCTCAGCCCTTCAGGCTCACTTAGCTGCGTGAGTCTCCAGGGAGACGAGGCATGTCCCAGAACTCACCCTGTGATTAGGGCCACAACCTCGTTTCTGCTCGTCTTGTAATTAGGGCAGCTCGACAGTGGTGCCCCTGCCCCCTCACTTCAGCAGACATGTGTGCAGCTTTCAAGACAGCTCTGCAGTGGCTCCTCTAATGTGGACAAGAGCCCACAAGAGGCAGAGTCCACTCGCCTGCCTCCCCTCACTCTCAGGGGTCCTTCTAGCTCTCTCCCTCTTTGTCTCTCATGCATTCATCTCCCCTCATGTCTTGTGTGGCTTTGGCCTCTGACCACCAGTGTGGTCAAGCCCTTGACTGATCTCCAAGTTCCTGAGTGCGTGTTCTTTGGAGAGCAGGAATTTTTCTTTTGAATAAAACTTAAATCTGCTAAAAACATTTAATAAAGTGAAACAGAAGCGCCTTTCTGGGCAGAGAACTGGATCTCCCCCCTCCATGTCCAGCAAAGGTTTTCTTTAGTTAGACAAATTAAATGAAGCTTCTAGTTTTAATAACTCTCAGGGAGGAATGAATTTCAGATGACCGTTTATGAGTATTTCTTCCTGTGACTGATCACTTAGCAGGATGAAGTAATGGATTTCATCAGTCTTTACTTTGACCTCAGGACTTGAGTCTGTAACCCCTGCAGAAACCCCTCAGCTCACCAGCTGCTCTCTGGGCTCAAGACAGAGCCAGGCTGCGTAGAGATGACCCCAGATGGCCAGCTGCTCTCTGGCATCAGCAGGGTTTGCATTGCCAGGTCTTCCAGCCTTTAAGGGTAATGCAGGGCAGCTAATCGAGCCTTGAACTGGCTTTAAACTTGTGTCTACAATACAGCATCTTCTTCATACCCTGGAACAACACTTTTTGGGGAGAATGACATGTGATTGAAAAGAGCAGCTCAAGTATAGCAAGGAAAGTAGAGTCCAAATTTAGGGCAATGTGAGAGTGGAGGTGGTTTGTGGGGGAGTCTAATTTACATTTTTGTATTAAAGTCTGTCAGATGTGCATGGAGCGATCTATGAAATGGATTGGAAGATAATTTAGCAGGGATCAAAATGCAGGTTTAACTATATTAGCTGGATTAGAAATCTTAACTACCAAGGCCTGAGCTTACAAAGTGCATTTGCTTTCCCCTGTGCTTTGGACTTACCATGTACAAGAACGAAAAGCCTCTCTCTGTTTCACCTTCTAAAACTGCTTTGGAAAACAGAAGTCCCAGGAACAGTGAAAATTGGTCCCATGTTCTCATTCAGGTGTCCATTTTTAAGTTGCTTTTTAGAGAGAGCCAGGAGTGAAATTTTAACTGCAAAACCCCCCAAACATTTGGAGAGAAGATTGAAAATATGACACACACCATTGACCAGTTAGAGAAGGGGTTGGGGAGATGTTCCCAGTTATGAAATACTTCAGTCTACAGCTATTAACTAGGTATGAGACCCCGTGGAGAAAAGCCTCCTCCTAACCCTGAGTTTCACCATCACAGGCTTCTTTCTTGCTCTGGTTTGGAGGGACTGGTGCTCCTCAGTGGGTTTATCTAGACAAGAACCGCAGTGAATGAGCTATGCCTGTTAGAGGCATGGTTTAAACAATACTGAGAACACTTGAGGGCAAACGTTTAGATACAAATGTCTGTCCTTAGTGCAGAAACAGTACCCAGGGTCTTATACATGAAAGCACATACTGATTTCTAAGGAAAGCAGAGAGCAGTGGATGCCGTTGTTCTATATAGGTTTCCCAAGGGAAAGGTGCACACATCCAAATCTTGGGGTAATGGTACAGAACAGACACCAAACTGTTTTTGGTTGAAAGTAGCCGTTAGTGGGGCCCATAGGAGGTGTGGTGGTTAAGGCTTTGGACATCCACATGACCCATCACAGTTTGAGTCCCAGACTTGGCAACTTACTTTCTCACTTTCTCTCTCTCTGGTCAAATTAGAAAATGCTACTAATAAATAAAATTAAACAAAACAGTTCTTTAAAAAGAAAAGAAAGAGAAAGAGAAAGTAGCCTTAGTTAAAAATATCATGGGCACTGGTTTGGGTCCCACATAGCCATGACAGTAACCTGGTGGGGAGGAAAGGAAGCTTGTGTACTGGCACAGCCTACAATTTCTCAGGAGAAAAACCACACCAGCAGTTGGCCTAATGGCTATGTTGCTGGACTCCCATGCAGTCGACCACAGTTCAAGTCCCAGACCCAGTGGCTTAAATTCACACCAGGCACATGTGCGTGCGTGCCCAAGATCCTGAGAGAATGGAGAAGGGATTGCAGCGTGGCCATCCCTCTTGGGGGGTGATTTTTCGCTTTCTGTCTCTCTGTCTCTCTCTGCCTTTCTGGCAAGCGCATGAGCCCTATAGCAAGAACCTCTTAAAAAAAAGAAAAAGAAAAAGAAATGAAACAGACCTTAGGTAAGAATAATAATAGAGAACTGAAACAGACAGATGCTAATGGATGGGAGATGAGATTTGTCTGGAACCATACATTTTAGGCCAGTTGTTAAACACAGATTCTAAGGGGAGCTACATAAAATGTGGGTTTTGTAAATGACCCAAAAGGTCCAGCAACAGAAGGTCAAATGACAATTCAACTTTTTCTGCAATTTTAATCTCATTTGGGGGTAAACCTGCAGTGGAAATTCGGAAAGATTCAACACACCTATTTGTTTTTTGTTGGACCACACAGTGATGTACACTCTCTGCTCTCACTGGGGAAATTAAGTCTAGAAAGGCACCAGTTACAACCTGGGTTCAAAGCCTGACTTTTCCTAAGAGGAATGAGGCCAAAATTAAGCATGATACTGTGTTTGCTGGGCTGATGATTTAATGTCTTGGCATTACATTGGTTTTGTTATCCTGCATTATATTCACTAATACCATGGAATTAAAAAAAAAAAACTCACTGCTTTTCTTTTTTGAATCCTAAGAATGACAGAACTCAAGATCTATTATTTTTTTCAGAGAGAAAAATTGAATAAATGACTCACAACTGATTTATTAAAGGTTTAGTGGAGTAGAGTGATCAAGTTGAAAAGAAAACATGTGGTTTTGTAATAGAAAAATCTCTTGAATTTATAATGAAAACATTTTCTGCATTATTTTAA